GGACTGATAAGTTAATTTTTAGACTAGTTTTAATTATCAGTTACTTTATTCCCTGAAATAATAACTACTGTAGGAATTTAAAATGACATTGTTTATCCTCCAGAATACTCCAGTTACATTTCCAGAAGTCTCTCTGCTTTCGTCCTACCAGCTTTTGTCCATAGGCAAGGAGTCAGCAGGGAGTGGGGTCCTCGTGGGACACTGATGCTGACATCTTCTGGTGGGCCCAGTGAGGAGATGGCCCTGGAGGGCCCCCTGAGCCCACCCAAGCCTCTCTCTCCAGTTCATGTTTCTCATGCTCCATGTTGGACAGTCGCCTCCTCAGCTAGGAGGGCAGGGCTGTGCTTTTCACTTTGGAACTACCTTTTACAACACTGTTAGCAGAAACCGGTCTGTGAGTCCTAAGGTATTTCTGATCAATCAGTCTTACTGATGATCAGTTTTTACGTAAAGAGCGGCTTTCATTTATAAATTGTTTTTGTTAGTTTAATGTCATGTTTTACCTTCAAAAGAATTAAGTTGCGTAGATGAAGTCATTTTTTTTCATTCTTCCTCTTGAAGCAGTTTGAAAATATCTGCCTTCACACACACATATGCTTCCTGTGTCCGTATAAATGGGCAGTCACAGTGCTGGCCTGCGGGCATGTTTTCTTCATTGTTCCTGGAACCGTGTGGCTCTTCAGTGGGTGACATTTGCAGGAAGGATGGCTCTTTCTCCTGCATGTCACTGCTTTAGCACTAGGGCAAAGTACAGGGTTTAGACAAGGTGAAGTGCTTCTAGCACAGGTGTTCGCATCAGAGGCCCCCTGCTCCCCAGCAAGCCTGTGATTTAAGAGGCTGGGCAGGGCCTGTTCACCACGGTGCCAGTGGGAGGCCTCATGGTGCAGGGGCACAGCTTTGGTAGAAGAAGAGGATGGCGTATGGAGGGCAGCCCAATAGGAAGCTAATCCTCAGGGCTGGAATAAGAAGTGAGGTTCATAGAGAGGTTACTGAGACCTCGAGTAGTCATCCCTTCTTGACTGAAGGGCTGCCCTTCCTGCATTCCTTCCACTCACACACTCTCAGTATCACTTGGACAAGATGTTGACTCGCTGTTTGGAAGACAACACTTAGCTCTCGCCTAGTGTTTACATTGCTTTGACTATGTTATGTAAACATGGAGGACTTGCTAAGCAGAGTTCACTTTGCTTGTTATTCCTGAGAAAGGCCACTTCAGTCTTTGGTAGTGTTGGTAGTTAGGCTGAGAGCCCCAGCTCACCGTTGGAGCCCTGGCCCATGTGCAGTGTCAGTGGCAGGGAAGCAGGGTAGCGCTGTCCAGGACCCCTCGGGGTTCAGGATGCTGTCGCCTTTCCCTGCGGGCTCACATGGGATCCTCTTGTTTAAATATTTGCAAATATGCGTGGTATCACTTAGCATCAGTACCCAAATGTGGGAAGGTTTGCATGCCATATATTCTCTCCTGTGATTTAATGCCCATATGCCATAGGTCCTTCCTGGACTGCTAAGTAGCCCCAGAAGTGGCCAGTTGCTCTCTCTATTGCCCCGTCTCCCATCTGTTTGTTGTCAGCCCTGTTCAGTTCTCTCTACTCGCTTTTTTGGCCAGTTCCTCCTGCTCTGGCCACATTGTCTCCATTTCACTCCCAGAGCACATAGCCCTTCCCAGCCCAGGCCAGTGCAAAATGCTTCCTCCTCTGGAACCTCTTTGTGGGTGGCTGCTTGCAGTCCTCTTGTTACTGAGTCTGGCTCTGGTCTCCATCTGAAGTGGTCAGCTCTGCATCTCTGTGGTGTGGTGCCTCCTGTCTTGCAGCTGCCACCTTGCTGTTTATTGTACCCCCCTTCCCTCTGCTCATCAGCTCAGTATGGGCAGCTCCGCTGGCTGACTCAGGGGCTGGATGTCCATGAGATATATCCATGAATTTCAGTGTGTTCACTTACACTCAACCCAGAGCAGTGTAGAGGTGATGCTGAACCAGGTAGTAGGGAAGCCTGGCCCATCGTCATTTTAGCTGGTGAGGCAGCCAGCCACCAAGAGGATCTCAGGAATCCTGCATTCTAGCAAGCTCCTCACTAAGCAGAGCCTCCACTCCTCAGAGTCCTCTGTCAGGAGGGACTAAGTGTCGTCAAGGGGTTCAGCCTCCCAGGCCTGATTGAATTGGAATGGTATGCTGTGTTTTGGTCAGTTTTGCTCAAGGGGGCAGAGTTTGTTTCTGGGAGCCTCCAACTGATGGGGAGAAGAATAGACTGCCTTTCAGCCCCTCACCCTCCAGTCCTCAGAGTCCTTCTGCTGTTTCTTTAGGTCACTGTGTCTGAGGCACATCTTTGTATCCCATCTCAAGGACTCTGGCGTGAATATTCAGTCCCCCCCGAGTCCTTTAACTGTCTATAACCAAGTTTTAAACTAAAATATAGTTTCCTGGTCCCAGAAGGCTGTCCTGCTCCCTTCTCTCGGTAGCAGCCCTCCACCCCTCCTCCCTCCTCTCCCCCTCTCTTACCCCCTCCCTCCCCTTCTCCTCCCCCAGCCCCTCCTCCCGCTCCTTCCCTGTGCCCTTTCTCTCCCCGGCCCCGCTTTCTCTCTCTACTTGCTTTGTGTCTGGACTGCTGCAAATGGAGGGCAGATTTTCTGTTTGGTCTAATTAGACTCAGTGGCAGGTATAGAGTTGCCCAGTAAAGTATTTGTAGATAAATTAATTTATGTCCAAGACATTAGAGCCCTTTTGTCATTCCAGCTATGACCTCATGATAGCCCCTCTGAAAGTCTGATCTCATCGTATTTAGATCATGTGTTTATTTTGTTTTCCTGTAGAAAGGCTAAATATAACAGTAGCTGACTGACCTTCAGAAAAAAGCATATATCTGAGCATATGCTCATGGCACCACCTCTTCACCCCAACCCTCAAGAGTTTCTGAGAAATGAGGTTGCTTACTCATCTCTTACTCTGTGTTCCAAACCTCAGACCTGTGATTTGTTTGCTGCCCTTAGCCAAATTCAGGAGCCTAGCCTCAGCCACCTGCAGCAGTCCTTCACCCGCTGGTACACCCCTCGGGCCATGGGGACACCTTGTCGGAGCACCTAGCCTTGCCTGTTATCCCTAGAAATCTCATGATTTAGGAGTGGGGCTAGGCGGGGGGTGCCTGTGAAGGGGACAGTGTGTAGGAGTTACAGACAGCTAGCCACTTGGTTTTTTGCTCTGCTCCAGGCCTTTCACAAAGCAAGGCAGGCTAGCCACCCTTTCTGGGGACCTCTTCTGTGTGTGGAGGCTGGACTGTAAATATCAGGGTGTTTCAGAATGAAGGTCACGAGAAATTTTGAACTAGTGATAACTGGCTGTGACATGACTTGACAGCCCACAGGTCTAGCAGACACTCAGCAGAAGGCTGGCGTCTGAGATCCCAGCCAGCCAGAAGGAGGTTCTAACTCTGCCTGTTAATGTCCCTCCCCTTCCACAGTGACATACTTGCACAGTGACTGTCTCTTGCACCTTAACTTGCTTTGCTGTTAGGGTCAGAATAGATTGCTTGAAAGCTGCTGAGTTTCCAGGGAGAATCGATAGCTTTTTTGGGTTGTGATCGTAAGTGAAGTGCTTTTCCTCCTGGGTGGGATGGAGAGCTCGCCACCTCACTGCCTCCCTCTTCCCTCTCCACGTCAGCATTATGCCTGATTATCACTGTGGCTTTGCTGAAGGTACAGGAAGTGGGGTCCTTCCCACTCATGAATGTTGAGCTCTGGGTGTTTGCATTTTAGATGGCCACTGAGAAAGCCAAAGGCTGGGGCATGGGGATGCAAGGCTTGGGCGTGTTCAGTCTGTTATTAGGAACTGCTGAGATCTTAAAGTCACAAATGGTGTGTCTCCACAGGGTTAAAGAAGGAACGAGTGGCAGGAAAGGATATTCAGTCTTGAGAAGAGAGGGGTCACAGTGCTCTGAGCAGGAGGTCGGAAGATGCTTCTTACCTATATATTTCCAGGTTCACTGCTGGGAGGTCAAGGGGGGGAAGGTTACACAGCAGGACAGGGGAAGGACTCAGAGTGAGGAGAGGAGAGTGTGGGAAGCTTAGCATCCCTGAGCCTTTACTCATGCTGAGCTGGCTGCTGCCCAGCTCCTCAGCAGGTCAGAGCAAGAGCTTACTCATCTCTCGTCAGTAGTTTATCTCACTTAGGATGTGGCCAGCCTCCAGGCGGCCTCTTCTCAGAGCACTCCCAAGTAGAGATCTGAGTCACGGAGTCCTCTAGACACAAGATTGTGTCTTGGTTCTCATCCCAGAGATGGGATACTCCATGCGGCTGTCCCGTGCTGGGGGCCCAGATTCACAGTCTGAACCTGAGCGGCTTCTCTCGCTCATCCCCTTCCGGGTGCTCTGAGACCACTCTAATTTGCTGCCTTCTGGATGCGGGGCAAAGCTGAAAAACAAACACAGTTCTTTTTTTAAAGCTCTTTACCCTGCTGGTGTTATAAAGAGAATTCGGGGTTTGTCTGATGCTACCTCTTCCAAATGCACGGGCCCGTGTATGGGGTCCAGGCAGCATCGTCCGTCACCTGGTGCTCTGGGGCCTCCACAGCTACCTGTTATCACACTTGTGAGAGCTCTGGCTGGGCAGGCCGTCAGGTAGGTGGCAGGCATGCTGGCTACACACAGCACTCTGCCTTCTGTTTGCTTTAAGTGAGTTAACCAGGTGGGCTTAGCCCCGTGGAAGCCAGTTTCCATGGCAGAAGAACATTTACACATTACAACATGTTATATTAATTTTCCTGAGATGCATCAACAGAGACCCAGGCCAGTTCTTTGGGAACAATGTCCTTGTTTCTGTTCTTGGTCAGACGTTAAGATCCCACACCACTGTTTGTGGCTGCAGGAATTGCCCCAGTCCTCCTGGCCAACATTTGGGAAGCTGGGGGAGTGATTTGCTGACCAGCCCCCACAGGTCTTTCCTGTGTATATTTGAGCCGAGCTCTGGGCCCTTTGGAGTGTGTGAGCTTGTCTGAGACCTCCTTCTCTCTTTCAGAGGACTACCCCAATGGCACGTGGCTGGGAGACGAGAACAACCCTGAGATGCGGGTGCGCTGCGCCATTATCCCCTCCGACATGTTGCACATCAGCACCAACTGCCGCACGGCCGAGAAGATGGCGCTGACGCTGCTGGACTACCTCTTCCACCGAGAGGTGCAGGCTGTTTCCAACCTCTCGGGCCAGGGGAAGCACGGCAAGAAGCAGCTTGACCCCCTCACCATCTATGGCATCCGGTGTACGTGTGGGCTTCCTGTCTTCTGTTCACCCTGCTAAGAGAGGACCTGGCTGCAGGGTGGGCCCCGCGAGGCAGGATTTTGGGGACGAGTCAGGACCTCCATTATTGTGTTGGGGGGACACTGGTGTCAGGACTTGTCACAGATCAAGGAGAGGGGATTCTGGAGAGAGCATTTCCTTTAGTAAATGTTGCCTGTACCCAGCCTAGAGGAAACACACTGGGAGTGTGAGCCTTTCAGACCCTGAAAATTATTTCAAGTAGCTTCTAACAAATTGCATGTGAAACCCACTGACTTCAGTCTCTCAGGTGGGGATAAAGCAGTTCTCAGATGAACAGAGAGTTGCAGGAGTTGTCCCTTTTCCTAAGGGACATTCAATTGATGTGTATGTTAGGCTGCAGCATAGGATATGTGTTGTAACCACTCAGCTCTGAAAGCAGCCACAGACCAAACGTAAACAAATATGCACATGAACATGACTTTCTGAAGCAGGCAGGGGTCTGTGGACTGTCTGCCAGCCCGTGCTTTACAGCACGATGCCTAGTACAAAGGGCACTACTCAGATCTGTGGGCCTGGCACAAATGTGTGTGCAACACATGGGTTTCCATGGTGACAGGATGCTGTGTGACAGTGTGTGACAGTGTAACTCACAGTGTGAGGTACTCTTGGGATGCAAAGATGAATAAGAAGCAGTTCTTAACTGTGTGGTGCACAGTCATATATGTGTGAATGGCCACGGCCCCGAGTGTGTCACAGGGAGGTGGGCCACACCACAGTGGTTGGAGGCAAAGGGCCCAACAGAGAGTGGTGTTTGTGCAGATGCTCTGAGAGTGGCTTGGGTCAGGCTCTGGCTTGTGCAGGTGTGATGGCCTTTTGGTAGTGAGCTACTGTTCCCATAGGGAATCTCAGGGCTACCAGCATGGGGTATCTCTGATTTGGAGAGGTGTCTTGGAACATACTGGTTATTAGGCAGAAGCGTGGAGAACATTCCTTGGCAGTAGTAGGAAGCTGAGCTGGGGTACTCAGAGCAGAAGCATGTGGGGACGGGGACGAGGGAACATGCTGCGCCCAGGGAGTCCGAGTGTCGTGGTGCTGCATGGTTTGAGCGAGCTAGTCCTGCTTCCCAGCACGCGGGGCAGTTGGAGGCCTTCTGAGCTCTCCCTCATTTGGGAGCCATCACAAGCTGTGGCCTTCTCAGCACTAAACTTTAGGTGGACTTTTGAAAGGTTGAAAATATTTGTTGACCTTTTTTCCTTTTGGCCCAGTTTACTTTGTATTGTTGATTGTTACTCAAAAAATGGAACAAAAAAATAGATGCATCAAAACTACTAAGCAGTGAGCTTAAATAGTGGCAGATGCGGGCACTGGATACTTTGTCACCCCTTCCTCAGTCTTTGCTGTTTCTGCGGACTCTGGGTGACAACGAACATTTTCTGTAATTCTCAAATGGTCTTTTCCCCATGGTCTTTTCACATGGCCGACCTCACCAGGTCTCCATTGTCATCTCCCCTTGAACTTGAGATTACATCAGTAGTGATAGTGTTTTTCATTCCTTTGCAACTGATAAGCCCCATGCCACCCACCAAGGATGCGAGGGTGCTAGGTTCATTTTATTTCCTCGGTCCCTTTTCCCACAGTGCGCCTCAGCTCCTCTGTGAGCCTCATTATTTGAGAGCTGGGAGTCTGATTTGTGATTGAACTACCAGTGTCAGCTAGGGGCTGTCTCTCTGTGTCTCCATCATCCCACAGCCACGTTATCCCTGCTCGTCTGTCGTCACGTGGCCGTCTTCTCCCTGGGTCTTTTCTCCTCTCCTAAGGAAACCCGTCATGCTGGATTTAGAGCCCACCGTATTCCAGTATGACCTCATCTTAATGTAGTTAATCACATCAGCAAAGACCCTCTTTCCACGGGAGGTCATATTCTGAGGTCCTGGGAAGGACATGAATTTGGGGTTCATGTCAGCACAGCACACAGGGCCTAGGTTCTTTAGAACTTTGGTAATCAAATGTTGCGCCTCACACAGCTTCTTGGTGGTGGTCCCACCGCTTGTCTGTGGGGAAGCTGAAGCACTGTTTGAATGGAGAGCTGGGAGGCAGCTTTGGTCAGTGTGGGCCAGTGGTGAGGAGGGAGGGGCCGTGAGATGCAGAATAGTTGGGGGCCTGCTCACAGGTCACCTGGATGCTGTGCTTAAAAAGGCCTGACAATGACATTGGCCTCTGTCCTCCTATGAACTGAGAAGTAGTGTCACCCCATTGTGCTTATCTTTACTCAGAAGATCACCCCTGCTTGGGGAGAAGGGGCTAACCTGGCCTTGAGGCTAGGACACTCTGGGTATGTGAGGTGTACGTGGTGCGTCAGCGAGGCAGGCTGGCCCTACCCGCACGAGAGAGCGTGCTGGCCATTTTCCTCTCACTCAGAGTGCTGAAGATTTCTGTTGTTTTTATAGGCCAGTAACTATGAAGTCAAGATTGTAATTTTAAGAAATAAATTGCTGGCACTCAGTTTTCTGCTTCTCTTTCCCCTTGAACTTGAGATTACATTAGTAGTGAAAGTGTTTTTCATTCCTTTGCAACTGATAAGCCCCATGCCACCCACCAAGGATGCGAGGGTGCTAGGTTCATTTTATTTCCTCTGTCCCTTTTCCCACAGTGCGCCTCAGCTCCTCTGTGAGCCTCATTATTTGAGAGCTGGGAGTCTGATTTGTGATTGAACTACCAGTGTCAGTGTGGGTGTTACGGAAAGGGAGAAGGCAGCTAATCTTTAGGAGGTGGCCAGATAGCTTGCTAGGAAGACAGACGGGCTGGCTCACAGGGGTCATCTTTCTGGAGGTGGCCCAAGGGGCTTGCCTGCTGAATGGCTATCCCACAGAGATGCTGAGGGGGCTCAGTGGCTCACCCTCCAGATGACATGGTTCTGCAGCTTCCCAGGGACCCTGTGCCCTGGGGCAGTGAACCAGAATTGGCCTTAGAGTTGCGCTGTCTCCTACGCAAGGCAGCCAGGATGACAGCTTAGCTGAGGGGAGTCATGGGGGTAGAGCCTGTGGTGTGAGGTTGATGTCGTCTTCTTCCTGGTCTCCTGAGCTGCCCCAGTGGGTCTCTTGGGTGCTGTTGAGGGCCGAGTGAGGCACTTCCTGGGGTTTATGCTGTGACCATTTCTTTTCCACGTGGGTGGATGCTGGGAGACCTGCATTTTAAAGCTGGGTCTCACTCCTAACTGATAATTTGACTTGTGACTGAAGTGAGGGCAGTGACATTCATATTTCATGAGTTTTTCTTATGAGCATCAAATAACTTCAGAGGTAAAATGCTTCACAAGTGTAAAATATCAGTTAAATTCAGATAAAGACCACTTTAGGAAAAGTCAAAACAGCAGCGTCTGTCCAGTAGCAGGTGTGGTTGGGAGGCTACACCCTCTGCCCTTTGAACTCCTTCCTGGAGCTGCCTGGCCAATGCCACAGGGTTGCTGAGGGCAGAGTTGCCTCCATACACCCCCCCCCCCCCCCCCCCGTGTCTTCCCCTCAGGGCTTTCAGCAGGGGAGCATTTGTGTTGCGGATTCATTAGTTTTCCTTGGCTGCCATCAGGGTGGCATTTGTCATCCAATTAAGTTGCTTTTGGAAGGAATTATCTAATAGGATGTCTTAGGAGAATTTAGAAATGGATAATGTATAACTACATGATTGTATATTTTTTCTCCAAAGGATGTAAGCTAGGCTTTGGACTGACAAGTCAGTTTTTACAAAGTTGAATTTACATGTTAACATTGTGTATACCAACCAGTATATTCGTTTCTGTTACTAACAAGTTTTTAAATTTTTTAAGCCCGGTATAATTTCATTAATCCCCTGAGGCATTCAGAAGATTTTTTTCCTTGAGTGCGAAGGTATGAGGAGAACAGGAAAATGGTTTGTATAATGTTTCTCTTTACCGAAGCATGCACTTAATAAGATATTTTGGTTGCTGTTTCTTTTCTTGTGTTGGAGACCACAGTTGTAGTTGGGCTCCTCTGCAGCTATAGGCAGAAGTTGGGGTTCTGCTGTGACTGCATAGCTGTAGTTCTGATAGTTGCGTCCGTCTGTAATTACAGTCAGGAGCTGAGTTCTCCTGCAACTGTACAACTGCATTTCACACTCAGGTTCTTCTGCAGTTAGAGCAAGTAGTTGGGTTTTCTTGTCACTAAAGTTGGTCACTAGCCCAGGACTTTGAGAGGCCACCCCCTGCACCTAAAGCCATACCTAGCATGTAGCAATCACTTAGTGGGTATTGATGAATGATTCTGTGATTATTTCAGAGATGACCTGAAAATCAGAAAGCAAAGAGTTGACACCTCACTTATATTTTTTCTTTTATGCACCAGGATTACAAAGTGCTGCTAAAACTATCTTAGGTTTTTGTTCTTTCTGATCCTATAAATCCCCTCCTTAACCCAATTTCTTTTTTATTTTATTTAGATTACAGAAATTTTTGTTTTGGTTTTCATTATATATAGAGTCAAAGATATCTTGAGCATAAGCAAGAAATGTCTTTCCAAGACAAAGGAATTTTTGATACTTAATATAGTACTGAGGAGGACAAACAGTTTCTTTGTTTTGATTAATTGTAGTATTTTGGTCTTCATAGAAACTGGCTTTAGGAGTTGGGCATCAAGTTAATTCTCAGTAGATGATCTAAACTTAAAGCTCTTAGTAGTCAAAACAGGACATTTTTCAGCTTAATCTTTTTATTATTCAGTTTTTGAACTTCATCCATTTGTTTTTCCATTAATCAGTGAAGTTTTACGGGCCAGCTAGAGAGGAGGTCACCCTGTTGAAGCATTTCTTGTGGTTCCCACGTTGATGACCATTACTTTCTGTTGATTCAGCATGAAGAAGAGGTGAAGTGACTAGTGCGAGTTGGGCAGGGCTGGCAATGAGGGTCTCCGTTTGTCACTCATTCGTCAGTGGCCTCCCATATCACCAGGTCCCTTGTTATTGATGTGGGGGTCTCTGGATGCCATTCAGTCATATCTTGAGGGCTGTCTATAACATAAGGTGTTAGCAAATGTGGATACCAGGAACATGCTCTGTTAAATGCAGGGTAAACTACTGGAGGACTGTAAGACTCCATGCACCCTCTATGGCTAGCAGTTAAGTAGAGGTAATGCCTATGTATTTGGGGAGTAAAAAGTCACCTCTACCCTTAGAGAGTGTCTACCCTGATTGGGGAGGCAGATGGAGGCACCTGGGGGGTTACATAAGCCAGGCTCAGATTTAAGTAGCATTTTAAGAATGTCTTATAGTTTCCAGTTAATCAACAAATGTTGAAGCATCTACTATGGGCCTGGATATTCTGGGTTCTTGGCATACATGGGTGAACAAAATAAAGATCCCTCTGTCTGCAAGGGGAAACAGTAAACACAATGTGGAGGTGGGAGGGACCTTAGGGTCAAATGGGCTGGTTAAGTATTGGATTGTGGAGGTCCTATTTGAGCCAAGACTTGAAAGAAGGGAGGGAGACAGCCAGAAAGACAGGGATGAGCAGAAGGAATTTTGAGCTGGAGTCTGGAGAAGCAGTTTTGATAAAATTGTCAGACACCTTGATTTTCATTTTCAACACCCAGGGAGTTAGAATAGAGAGAAGAGTTTGATTGTGGAGCATCTGGGAAGCTCGTGTAAGCCCTCAGCACCTAGCTTTGTTGTCTTATTTCCCTCTGGTGTGGGTGGTGCCAGAATTATTTAAAAGTTAATGTAACTGGCATGCCTAAGAGGGAGGCTCTCAGCCCCGATCACATTTTTGTGTTCAAGTTGTTCCCAAACAGCCAGGACCCAAAGGGAGGCCTTCATCTTGTGGTGTTTTATTTGGGATGTGTTCTTCCAGGCCACCTCTTCTATAAATTTGGAATCACGGAATCTGACTGGTACCGAATCAAACAGAGCATCGACTCCAAATGCCGGACAGCCTGGCGGCGGAAACAGCGAGGCCAGAGCCTGGCCGTCAAGAGTTTCTCCCGGAGAACGCCGTCCTCATCTTCATACAGCACATCAGGTACACTGCGGGGGCAGCCCGGAGCAGTTCGAGCTTCGGGACTTGGGGGAGAGTCCTGAATGAGGCTCCTAACCTGCAAAACCTACAGCTGCCGCTCGGAATCCAGTGACTTGAGCCTTAACTGTGTGCACACATGTGCAGTGTAAGTTACTTAGCAAATGCTGCTTATGTGACAGATGGGGAGCCGCAGCCAGATCTGCTTAAGGCTCCTTCCTGGAGGCAATAGAAGAGGTCATGTAGACCAGGGCCACCACACACTGGTGTCGCCTGGTGGGGAGGCAGAAGCATGGGCTCAGTGAGGGCCACATTGGGGGCTGTACTGAGCAGTTCCTTTACTTCTCTCGGCCTGGTTATTTACCATGTCGCTCTGTGCCAGGTGTTCGGAGTAGGAGTGAGCACAGCCACAGTCGGGTAAGGATAAGGGTAGCATTCAAGCTGAAGTTTTTAAAAAACCACGTGAGGGAGATGAGCATAATTATATTCCCTTGGCTTCTAGATATGTCTGTGGCTGGAGAGGGTGAAGAATGAGTTTCTGAGCTATTGTATTTAGTCTCACGCTTCTACTAGTAAACCCTTGTAGGTGCCTCCTTTCTGCTCCGTTTGTGAGAGGCCAGAGGCATTCTGCTCTGAAGGCTGCCTCTTCGTGAGCATTGGAGTCAAATTAGTTTTGAGAGAAACACAGAACATATTTTTTAATTAAACTTTTTTAAAAGAGCACATTGCTTTGTATGTTTCTGTTGATTTAGTTGTTCTCTATTTTAATATACTGCATACTTGGCTAAAATTAGATAAAACAAAATAGGTGGCTAGTTAAAGGGCCTTCTTGAATTTTTGTCGTTGTTCTTTCCTCATACTCTGAGCCTAACAACGCAAATCTGGTATTTCAGGCTACTCTGGTGAGAGAAATAGTTCAGTAATATGTACTTAAATCAGGATTTTGTTATTGGTAGTATTTCCAACTGGGGTGTCTTGCTTACTTTTGAATTATCAGCTGACATAAATAGAACTTCCAAATAAATGCTTATAAACGAGATTCTGAGCCAAGGTTAGTACTGCCAGTTTGAACATAGACCATAAAGTCACTATTTTCAAGGAACTTTTAAAAAATCAATTTATTAAAACATTTGTGTTTTATCTAGCAACACTATAAATTTGTATATGTACTTGAGTCTAACATGGCTATATTTTATTGTCTAAAATACAGTTCAGCTGGTTTTTTTCCCACAGTATCACCGGTGAGTTGAAGATCTTAGGTAGGCATCTGTTTAGTGCCCATTATTTTAAGAGTTGCAGAGAACCTGCTCTTAACAGTCCTCTGACTGCAAATCTGTGTGCAGCTGGCTTTCCTCTGGGTGCAGAGAGCAGCCGGGCTGGGGAGGGCGGGAGGCCCGTTGGACGGCCTGTCCTTTCTGTCTCAGTCTCTTCCAGTGGGCACTGTGGCCTGGGGCCTCCTCAGGACCACCCCTGGCCTCACGTCAGCATGAGCACACTCGTCTCTCATCACTTCCCATGGGTCTTAGTCTGTTCTTGATCCAAAACAAATCACCAGTGAGAGTTTTTGTACTGGACTTTGATATCGGTATGAGTTATAAAACATGAATTTAAACTGGTCTTCGTGTTGTATAATTAAAGGGAGCTCTTGATTAAATGGTAAATTCAGTAATTTGAACCTTAGGTTTGGGAAGCATCACACACAAATCATGTCCTTCTGCAGTGTTTTTAGAACCCGGGAGACTGTCATTCTTTTTTGTTACATTTTTGAAAACCAGCAAAATCACTTGATTTTTATTAACGTTGGAGCAGGAATTATTTGGGAATCTATGTAGTTTATGTAGTTCTTATTAACTAGGAGAGGGGATTTTACACGTTTTGGTCACTACCCTCTTAAGTTTGAAAAAGTGGGTATTTTTAAGTTGACATTTTATAATACACCTAAAATTTTTAATTATGCTTTGAAATAATTTAAAGATTTAATTTCTGGCATGTCGCTGTATAACTTTTTAAAAAATATATGCAGTGGAATCTAGGTACCATTGTCAATTTGATGCCCATCATTAAATTACTAGAAAAAAGACATGAAAGGTTTTTCTTCAGTAATCAGACATTTATATATTTTTTATTCATTTTAGCTCTCTCACAGAATTTCCCCCTAATGTAGTGTATTTATTTTTAAGAGGTTTTACTGATCCATCATAATTTTCTGCAACAAAAACATGTAAAAATTAAAAATGATTTCTGAGCCCCGAATGTTCTAAGTGTTTGAGGAGATATTACAATTAAAATTAATACACATCATCAATACAAACATCTCATATGTGAGTGGAGCTTTTTTCTGTAGTTACTTTAATTAACCAAGGACAAATATTACTTATTGCTGGTTTAAAACAGAGTTTAATATCCACTTTTTCATATTTTTTTATTTTGCCAATATATCCTGAGGAACTTCACACTTAAGTAAGTAGATGAGAGTAGTCTATGTTGGTGGATAGTCAGTTCTTTAGTTCCCTTCTGTCTGCAGATCAGATATCTATTATCTGACGCTAATAACTAATGAACTCTACAAAATGCCACACCCTCCACTGGGACATGTTGACTGGGGTTTCAGAATGAAGAGCTTCCTTTCCTCTTCTCTGGGAGTTTGGGGGAGGGGATCAGGGTAGAGGAGGCGGCCTGGGCGTGTGCGTGCGCCGTTTGTCTGCCGAGCCGTTGCTGAGCCTGTCTGTTTCCCCGCAGAGAGCATGATGAGCACACCGCCTCCCGCCACGGAGATGCCACAGCCCCAGCCGCAGGCCCTCCACTACGCGCTGGCCAATGCCCAGCAGGTCCAGATCCACCAGATTGGAGAGGACGGGCAGGTCCAAGTAGTATGTACCCTTCTACTAGTCTGTGTCCGTGAGTGGTTGGAGGGGAGGGTGTGGCGGCAGGGATCAGGAAGGGCCAAGCCCAGTCCTCCCTGTGTCTCTGAGTCACATGGATAGCTTGGGCTGAGGGGGAAGTACCATGTCAAAGTAGAAGTAGTTAGGGTACAAGCCCTTAGCATTTCATAATGAGTGTGACTACTGGGTGACCATGTCATTGTCATGGCCCCTTCGTGGCCCTCCTGTGCTGCACCCACTGGTCACTGGCAGCTCTAAGTGTCTGTGCTTCTGCCTGTCCTGGGAGGTATCAGAGATGTATCAGATATTTTTTCATTTCAGAAACAGGGCACCCTTTAATTGGGGGAAGAAGAAGTAATTTCCTTTTGGGGTCAGTTGACAAAGCTGGTGGCCTTAGTTATTGTGTAGTACTTCCTTTGGGTTGTGTGATGCACACTGAGCTTGTGTGGGCAGTTAGCATGGGGGTGAGTCCACATGGCCTCGTTGCCCTGTCTCTGGCTGTGCCAGCCCAGGTGGAAATTTCTCCAGAACCTTCATGGGTCCTGTGGCTGACGTGTTGGAGGCAGGAACTTTGCTAGGGAACAGGATATTTTCAGTGTGCACCTGAGATCCTGTTGATGTGTGAGTCACACCAGCCTCTTTGTCATACGCCTGTATCACTGGGCTTTCTCTTGAAAAGCCTGGTCCCAACTCAGGGTGGCTTCAGTTTGATGTTGCATTCAGCACACTGCTTGAAAAGGGTGGGCTTTCAGAAAGTGCTGATGAGGAGTTTTAAATGGGTTTTTTCTTTTTCCAGAGGACATGAAATATAGATAGTGATTCCTTTGTTTAAGTGATAGTCATAAAGACAGTTAATCTTAGTAAGAAAGTCTTGTGAAAGAATTCCGGAATAGATAACTTGGATGCAGGGTGCACATAGACCTAGTAAAATGAAATCAATAGAAATTTTTATAGTAGTTAACTTTAAAATCCATTTTCATCAAGATAGAATTTTAAATAAGATCATGGGTATTCATAACACTAAGCCAAGTTAAGCTTTATAGGAATTATTTATCTGCCTGTATCTACAAACATAAATGCATTATATAGTTGGATGCTTTGATTTTTTTGGAACCACATTTACTAGTGTTTATACCAGCTGTTTAAATGGTCATATGTTTCTGTGATTTAAAAAATATTGCCTGGCCTGTGTTTAGTGTAGATGCACATGTGTGGCTCCCCTCCCCGCAGTCCCACGCCACCGGGGGGCCCTCTCGTACTCCCAGATCGCTGGGAGACCCTCCCGGCTAGTTCCGTGGGGTTTCTGGTCCCTCTGAGTTAATAGTATAATTTTCTTTAAGTTATTCTAATTCTCTGGAAAATTCTGTTTCCCTTCTTTTCTGTTTGTCTTTCACATTCTGAAATTTGCTTGTTCAAGCAAGTTTAAAGACTTAACAGAATTTCCTTAGGCCCCATTGCTCCTTTAAGAATTACTACAAAATGTTCTGTATGCATTATATACTAAAAGTTTAATTTCAAGAGGCTGTTTAGTAGTTAATACTATGTACATACTGTATTGCATTATTCAAGATTTTAGTCTTTTTTCGAATTGGGGGTAGATGATCAAGAACAAAACTTTCAGAAAGCATTTCTTATTTCCTCTAGTTTTGATTTTCTTCTGATGCTTCTTGTTGTCTTCTCTCGCTGCGGATCCCACAGGGTCACCTCCACATCACCCAGGTGCCTCAAGGGGAGCAGGTGCAGATCACGCAGGACAGTGAGGTGAGTTGTAGCCACCAGTGCCCACTCCGTGCCTGTGGGCTTTCTGCATTCCGATCTTTGTTAAATGAGGTAGACAACCGGGAGTTCCCAGACAACAACATGGAGCCCAGCGTTGACCACCTGGCTGTAATTCCCTTGTGCATCCCCATCTTTGTAAACGCTCGCTGTGTTTTTGCGCCTGGCTAGAGCTCCCCTCTGAAGACCCCACTTCTCTCTGCCCACCCTCCTTGTCTTCCCATCCGAGATGCAGACTTAGCTTCCAGCATGGCTCTGACCCTGCTCTCCTGCCTGGAGAGCTCGCCAGCATGCCGGACTGGGAAGGAGAAGTGGGGCCTGCTCCTGTGATTGTGGCCTCGCAGGTGCTCCTCCGTTCCATGGGCCTAGGCTCAGGCTCTGTAGGACAGATGCTCATCTTGTGGGTTGGTTGGGAATTTATGGTTTTTTTCCCCCTTAATATTTTTAGAGGCAGAAGGGAGAGAAACATCAGTGTGTGGTTGCCTCTTGTACACCTCCTACTGGGAACCTGGCCCACAACCCAGGCATGTGCCCTGACTGGGATTCAAACCAGCGACCCTTTGATTCATAGGCCAGTGCTCAATCCACTGAGCCACACCAGCCAGGGCTGGTTGGGAATTTCTTGAGACAGCACATGTATGTCCTGTGAGCTTTCAGTGTATCTTTTCATGGTCTCCCCACCCCTTCCACCTCTAAGATTGCCTCACCTGTCTTAGATTCATGAGACCCAGGCTTCTTATCACTGGTGTCTGTGCTTTGGTGTTCTACTTTTCATCAATTCTAATTCATGGTAAGGACAGAATTCAGGGAGTCTTTTCCAGCTGCACAGTGCTATTATATGTGTGTGTCAGCTGCTGTAGGGGGTTGGTACATGAAGGTCAGGTTGAACATCTGGGTTTTTGGAAGGTGAGGCCAACCAGTCATGGTGCTGATATTCTCTGAGCTCCTTGGGGGGATCTTGTCTTTCTAGCCTTCTTGTGCAGGGCATGGGTGGTTGGTAGCTGTCTGTTGTGGGGACACTGTGGACTCTTCCTACAGCACTGGACAGTGTCAGCAGACTTGGTGCACTTGCCTTGTGACTTTGTCCCATGGCTGCCAAGAGGTGCTCACGCTGTGTGCTGACCGAGTGTGGTGTGGAATGGCATGCCCTATGCATGTGGGCCAGGAGCTGAAGAACAAACCTGTTTCTAGGCCATGAAAATGGTATCAGCTGTGTACATGACCTGCACTTGTGGTGTGTTGTTACAAGGTGTCAGGTTTCCTCACATACCAACTGTGAAAGCAGGTGCGGGACCAGCGGTGACTATGGATAGTCCTGACTCGTCAAAGAGCCTTTCAGGAGATGCTCTTGAGAAAAGTGTCAGACTAGTTTCAGAGCTGCTTTATGGACATTTCTCTGTATTCTAGCAGTCACCTACGCTGCCTTTTTAAAGCGGATATGACATTAGTTCCCTTTTGGCTTTCCAGTTCCCAGAACCTAGGGAACTGACGTGGAGGTGGTGGTATTTGCTTACTGATGCGTGGATGAGGCACTTGCCGAGTTCCTGTTCTGTGCGAGTTGTGTGCTGGCTGTGGCTGCCATGTGTAGTGAGAGTTGGAGGCTCCCAGCACTGTACGGAGATGATTGTGCTGGGAGGGCCCATCCAGAGACCGCGGGGCTCTTGGGAGAGGGGTTCTGGGATGTTTTACAAGGAAAGTTTTTTCATTTGGACCCTGAAGGTCTGTCAGTGTGCACAGCATGCAAAGGGGAAGAGATGAGCAGAGGTCCTAAGGGGAGAATGGGGAAGGCCGGCTGAGTGTATTCCTGTGAGAGGAACAGTAAATACCTGGTCAGAGGAGGGATCGATTCCTTTATATGAATAATTATTGCACTAATCAGCACATCTCCAAATGAGTGAATGGGAGAGAGTATGCTGGTATGGCCAAAGCATCAGGCAGGGGAAGGAGAGCAGCAGGCAGTGATTGAACTTGGAGGTGGCCCTGGAAGGCCTGAATATCAAGGTTAAGGAACTAGAGGTGATGGGAGAGGAATCTTTCAGCTCACCCTAAAGTGGGTTGTATGTGAAATGTGCAGAGTGGTGCAGGAAACCCTCAGACTAAATGGGGTGTCTCATTGAAAACTAGGGAGGCTTCATTTTGAAAGGCACAGACAGGTGGGGGCCGGACAGACTGTTCAGGGGTGTCACTGTAGAAGGCATGGCCTCTCAATCAGAATGCTTAATTTCCCTTAGCCATTTGAAAAGAAGGAAACTGGATATAATAGTAATAGGAAATAATATATATTTGTTTCTATATTGTTTTTGCAAGAAAAAAATCATTAGAATATTTCTTGAATCTCAATTTTTAAAATAAGTTTTGCCCCCTTTTTTCAGTTTTTGAAACTGAACCCCTCTTGTCTAAATAATCCCATATATTTTGTTTCCAGTAGGAATTAAATGCAATGAATTAGAATAAATTGCTGATAGTACTAATGATTTCTTTGTAATTTATAGTATGCAATTGTCTTACCACAATAAAGTCTTACCTTACTCATTTAAAAATTAAGTAATTATTTTGTCAAAATGAGGATGTCTATAGAGACATTTAGCAGAACCTACCAAGCTTAAGGCAGTTGTTATTATTTTTTAAACAATGAAAATGACATTGTAACCGGTGAGACCCCAGCAGGCCTGTGGTCTGGCTGATGGTATCGTGTCCTGCCAGTTGCCCTGCATATGCTGATACACTGTAACTGTACAAGGCGTCCCATGGTGTGTAGTGTCCCGACAGTCACCCTGTGTGTGCTGATGTGCTGTAACTGTACAGGGCGTCCCATGGTGTGTAGTGTCCCGACAGTCACCCTGTGCGTGCTGATGTGCTGTAACTGTACAGGGCGTCCCGTGGTGTGTAGTGTCCCGACAGTCACCCTGTGCGTGCTGATGTGCTGTAACTGTACAGGGCGTCCCGTGGTGTGTAGTGTCCCGACAGTCACCCTGTGCGTGCTGATGTGCTGTAACTGTACAGGGCGTCCCGTGGTGTGTAGTGTCCCGACAGTCACCCTGTGCGTGCTGATGTGCTGTAGCTGTACAGGGCGTCCCGTGGTGTGTAGTATCCCGACAGTCACCTTGTGCGTGCTAATGTGCTGTAGCTGTACAGGGCGTCCGTGGTGTGTAGTGTCCCGACAGTCACCCTGTACGTGCTAATGTGCTGTAGCTGTACAGGGCATCCCTGTGGGCGCACAGACCTCTCCATGCCACTTTGGATTCTTGTGAGTCTAAAATTCTCTCAGAAAATTAGCAAAAAAATTACATTTGCTTTTGTGGTCGGGGTATGATGTTTTTTGTTTTTTCTTTTTTGAGTTTGTTTTAGCAAGAAAAAATTGTAACCTATTAACTCAGCTTAAATATTTTGTTTCAGGTATTTATTGCTGCAAGGGTTGAGTTTTTAGAATTGGTGTTAATGGTTTTGCAGATTATTTACTAATAACATGAGGAAGTTCCTGCCGTTGCCTGTGTCTTGAAGTCATTTTTGTCCTTAATCTCTCTTTTTTCCATTCCTCTTTTACAGGGCAATCTACAGATACACCACGTGGGACAGGATGGGCAGGTAAGTGGTCACCTTTCTTTACTTCAAGCTTGCTTGTCATGGCGGATCACCAGACACTGCGTTGCCCAGGGAGGGCGTAGGGAGCAGGGAGCCAGAGGGTGGTCTGCATTAATCCCAGGGAAATAATGGCTTTAGTCCCGGTGGCTAAGGAGGTCCTGAAGGTTGTGGGTGTGGGGACTGCAGGGCTCTGGGCTCCATCTGCTTCTTTGTGGGGTTTCGGCAGCTCTGTTTTATGGATGAAATCTCCCTGGCCTGTTTATCACTGCTCTCTATAAAATGGACATGAATATTGTTGATGACAGTGTTTCTACAGTAGCTGTATATTTTAACAAGGGAGGTTTTGTTCATGAATATTGCTGTCATACTCCAACTACTATATTTTTTCTAATCTCAAACAAAAAGTAACTGAGGCAGTCATTGAACATACTTAATATGAATTGTCTTTACAAAGTGAGGAGTGCTTTGCTTCCTAAGGTCTAGTAAAATAGCTGGTGAATTCAAGGATTAAAATTTTCATGTCCTTTTGAAGAGTTCCTATTAAAGTGATGATTTTAACCTCTGAATAGTTGTAAAAACGTATCTGAATGATATTCCTTTTTTGTAAAACGTATGAACCATAAACACAAAGCTTATTTGTTGTCAAGATAATAATACTGGTTATTCTCAGAACCAAGTGCACACTCCCCTTTGAAACACCTGTATTCCATTGTCGTTGGCAAGGGCCTGGTGTCTGCTGTGAACAGGTCCTGGAGAAAATGTATCCTTGGACTAGCAAGTGAAAGGATAGTCCAAGGATAGTCCTTGGATTTTCTCTTGAACCCTCAGAGTACCTTGGGAGAATTGCAACAGATCTTAAAGCATTTGCTTAAATTGGAGTTTCTTAGTTTTAAAGTTTCTTCTTGAGCATACACATGAGGTTTTAATCAGTGTCCTGAAGCAGTATTGGTATATAAATATAGCTGCTGTGGAAAAGAGCCAAAAAGCCAAAGAAATGCAAAAATTTTAAAAAAGAAAAAAACAGCCCACAGTTGTTTCTCTGTGCTGTCTTGGTGATAAAATTGTTGGCCAGGCCCAGGAGAAGTCAGCTCTCAGCAGTTTTAGTTTGATGTTTCTCTTGGTCAGGCAAGAGATGGGCAGGAGGGAATGGGTCACTATCAGTAGTTTATCTCTTTGTTTTTGACAATTTAGTGGTTTGTATTCATACTGGGAGTGAAATTGGATTCTAATTAAAATGTTGTTAAACTTTAATTGATGAGAAAAGTAAGTTTGTTGCCTTCGACTTTCCCATTGTTTCTGTCTATTTCTGAGCAAAATTCCATTAGGGATTTTGAAATATAATCAGGTTTCTATACTATGTTACTATGGTGTCACTGTGTTCATCAGACAACACCATTCCAAGTAAGTCTTGAAAGCAGAGAACCCAGCTTTTGTGGACAGGTATAGCAGGCAAAGGAGCTCCGTCCACAGTTGTCAACTCAGGAAGGACTCCTAGAGTTTACGTCCAAAGAGGCTCCTTCGGAAACTTTCCCAAACAAGAGTGCTCTCCCACTCTCCACACTCTCCAAGTGCTGCTGCCTCACTTAAGTTCATGTTCATGCTTCATTGGCCTGTTCACATGAGCGGTCGTGATTTACTGCTCATTTATGTCTGTTCAGGCACATCTTCCTCCAAGTTCCCACTGGAACTTGCTAATTGTTTCTCTTAGCAACCTCTCTACAAAATAAACAGAACTACTGCACGGATCACTTTCTTTTATTTTATTGTTATCCTGTTACAGTTGTCCCAATTTTCCCCCCTCTGCCCTCCTCCACCCAGCCTACTTCCCCATTCCCACTGTCCATCACCACACCATTGTCCGTGTCCATGGGTCATTCATACGTGTTCTTTGACTAGTCTCTGCCCCTTCTTTCCACTATTATCCCTTTCCTGCCCCACTCTGGCCACTGTCAGTCTGTTCCACGTTTCCATGTCTCTGGTTTTATTTTGCTCGTTAGTTTATTTTGTTTATAAGATTCCTCTTATAAGTGAGATCATATGGTATTTGCCTTTTACTGAGTGGCTTATTTCACTTAGCATACTATTCTCTAATTCCATCCATGCTGTTGCAAAAGATAGGAGCTCCTTCTCTTTTTCTGCTGGTAGCATTCCATTGTGGAAATGTACCACAGTTTTTTTAATTCGCTCACCTACTGGCGGGCACTTAGGCTGTTTCCAGCACTTGGCTATTGTATATACTGCTACTGTGAACGTAGAGGTGCATAGGTTCTTTTGAATTGGTGATTCGGGATTCCTAGGGTAAGGATACTTACTTCCTGATGCTGGGGGCTGTTGAGCCCCTTCTCACTTCTGTTCCTGTGATATGGTCATGTTTTTCATGGGTGTTCTCATTTCTACTAAGATGTGTATCAAGGGTCTTGCTTGTGTTGGCTGAGTGTTTGCTAAGTCAGTGCAAAGCTCCTGTGAAAGCACTTCTCCCTGGTTCCTTGGGAAGGAAGTGTGCTGTGCTGATCGCTGCTGCTGCTGCTGCTGCTACAATTTGTAAGGTCAGCTCCTCAATGAATCTTATTTTCAGAAGAGAAATCTGATGCCTTTACATTGCGTTGAGTTTATTATACTACATTTACATAATCTTGTAACGTGGTTCTGGCACTGGACCATCCTTTTTGAGTCATATATTTTCTTCAAATTAAATATCAAGAGATTCTAGTCCCATCCCATATAGGGGTGTGGCACCTGGCAGGTTCACAGGTGGGTACGCTAAGGGCATATGAGTGCCTGGTTACTTTGCAGACTTGGGGGCTTGGGGCAGCTGTGTCCAGTGCTTCCCAGTCCTGGAAGAGGGATCTGGAAAGATGACCAACTTGCAGACCAGCAGAGAACCAGAGGTGGGAAGCCACATTTCAAGGGATGGCCATGGCCACAGCAGGTTCGAGGCACTGCTGGGCCTGGCGGTGTGTTCAGGAGTTTCCTGTTCTCTTCCCTCCATTTTTGGCCGTGCACATTCTCCTGTAGTGATCATTCCTTGTCCTTCGTCTAATCCGCTGGTTTTGGCCAGATGGCCAGATTCGTTAGGGTTGAAGTTAAGATGCTGTCACTAATTCTGGCCTTGGGTTCTGGACCAGGATACCTCCTTGGAGAAAGATGCATGGGCCTGCAGCTTGTCCTTCAAATATTCATGTGCATTTGTGGCTTTGTTCCTGGTGATTCTTATTGTTAAAAGTCACATTATTAAACAAGTTAAAACTGTGCTGACTTCTCTTGTCCCCAATCTGACCATAGGTACTATTGGAGTGTAGGTGACTTTTTATACCACTACATGCTACTGTCTACTTTCTTACTCAGTGAGTATTTTTAAATTAATCATTTATTGTGTGTCTCCATGTCATCCTGCTGAGAAGGTTAGGAAGAGAAGGAGCCCTGTCCTGGAGGGTCAGTTGCAGCTGCTCTGTGCTGGGAGGTCCTGCTGGGAGCAGCTCTGGACATTGACCCAGCTAATGCCAGACAGAAGCCTTTCTCCATGGGGCCCTGCAGCCATGTTAGACCTAATGCACCCGAATCTCCCACTGACTCTCTGTCAGAGGAAGTTAGGGTTGTAGGGTAGTAGGCTTCCCCTACCCCCGGGGGGCTCTGTGATGCTAGGCACTCAAACTAGGGGAGGGGGTGAGAGGTGAAGCACCCTTTCAGGGCTCTTGCCCTACTGACCACGTCTGTGCACTCCCACGGTGCTATCTCCTGACACCCTTGTTTTGGCCACAGAGGAGGCCCAGCTTTGGGATGGGATATTGTTTGACAGAGAGCCAAGTGGGTGGGAGAGTTATGACTGGGGTCCAAGTCTTGCCTCAGTGCTACCCCTCCATCCCTGTGTCGTTTCTCTGCTTGGGTGCCCTCGACTGTGAAATGGGACCTGCTTCAGGAAGGTACGCCATCACCAAGGGCAGAAGGCTGAGCAGTGTCAGCCTGGCATCTGGTTGGCACCTGATGGATGCTCATTATGCACCCAGGCGTCTCCCTGGGAGAGCGGGTGTGTTGTCCAAACCTTCAGAAACTGACTGTGCAGCAGGGTGTGGGAGTTGGGACTAGGTTCTGAAGAAAGATGTTTTTTATGCTGCACACTTAGAAAAGTAAGATCTGTTCTGTTCTTGAGTGATATCACTGGACTGTAACCCTTAGAAATTCTAGGTATAGATTCTGGCAGAGAACATCCCTTTAGAATGTGTGTGCGTGTGTATGTGCGTGTGAGAGAGAGAGAGTTTAGAGACATTATTTAGAAAATGATATACTTGAAGCAGTATATGGGAATGGGAAATATTCCATTTCTTCTTAAAATTATGGCCATGAATGAACCTTTCAAAGAAGGCAGATCATCTGAACCTCATTACTGTGAAGCAATTTGGATTAGAACTTAGCTTTTTTAAAATGAATTAAAATTATTTGTTAAAGAAATGCCAAACATAATATAAACATGTTTTAGTAATCTTGAGGAATGGTTAGCAAGTGGAATCTTGGATGGCAGGAGGCATTATGTTTGTGTTATTGAAAATCCCAGATTATGGCTCACAGTGCTGCCAAGGTTTGGACTTGACTGGCATGTGACTGTGCAGGATGCTGGGGTGGAAAAGGCTGGGGATGCTTGTTCTGGTTCCTTGGAAAAAACTGCCAGTCACATTTCTTACCAAACTTCCATTAGGTACAATGGACATCTTGGTCAAGGCAGCCTTTTCATGCGTCTCAGTGGTTTTGTTCCTTTTCCTGAACCAGGAAGTCAAGTTTAAGCAGACATGAATAGAACAGTCTTCAAAGTGTTCATGGTACTTGGAAGGTCAAGGCCCGAAATTCAGTTCAGCCGAACTTTGGTGATTGTGTTTTCTCAGCCTTGCTCCTTTGTACATTAAAAATACTTGTAAGATTATGTGGACATTTTAACCTTAGCAAAACATTTTATAAAAACTTTTAAATGAATAGAACCTGGCCCAATTTTGAGCATTGATGAAGAATGGTGA